CAATCTGTCAATCCAGTCCCTGTCAGATTTTATATTAATTTTATCAATCAGATATCAATATTCATTTAAACAGACCATCACACCTTGGACATCATACTTATTTTATTAACTATAAACTCTGCACCTTTCAAAATTACTTTCTTTCACTAGTTTACTAAAAATGAACACCATAATAGTTGTAAACAGAACTTTAACTCTGTCCCAGTGCCTTTTATTGAATAGTAACTAGTTATTTTCAATATTCATTGACAGACCAACATACCTTAGACCTTGTCTAATATAGATAGACAGAACACCCTTCTAAATACAATCACAAACTTATTTCACTTCCTCTTAAATATAAAAAAAAATCTGTAGACAACAATTCTGTTTACCAAAATCACGCCCAAAGTATGGCAAAATTGAAGGTTAAAGTTATTCAGTAGTGGACGCCTCAAAAGAGAAATACCACCAGGATGAGTATTCATTTGAACAGTTCTTCACACCATACGGACACCATATCTAATATAGATACACCAACTTTACAGACTTGTCTCAGTGAGTAGACATGAGAATAAGTTCTACTTGTCAAACTTCAGTAGGGACGCAAGCTGAAAATAGGTCAGTTGTCTGAAGATCTATACTTGTCCAACTTCAGTAGGCACGTAGACTGGAATAGGTCAGTTGTCTGAAGATCTCTACTTGTCAAAATTCAGTAGGGACACAGGCTGAAATAGATCAGTTGTCTGAAGATCTCTACTTGTCAAACTTCAGTAGGCACATAGACTGGAATAGGTCAGTTGTCTCAAGATCTCTACTTGTCCAACTTCAGTAGGCACGTAGACTGGAATAGGTCAGTTGTCTCAAGATCTCTACTTGTCCAACTTCAGTAGAGACGCAGGCTTGAATAGATCAGTTATCTGATGATCTCTAGGCCTACTTGTCAAACTTCAGTAGGGATGTAGACTGAAAATAGGTCATTAAGACTTTGAACACCTTTTCCTATATACTTGACCATGGACCAACTCTGAAGCTTCTCTACGTTAGTTCAGTGGAAGGTTCTGTCATATAATGGAGGAATCAACAGCATGCCTCTTGTGTGGCTGGGGCTTTAGAACTGTTAAATAAGCTTACACATTACACAACTTCTATAAATTGAAAATGAATAAAATTAAAAAAAAATTGAAAAATCAACAAGACATTCAAACTATTCAGATGACAGTATTGATGTTTATTCAAGCAGAGAGCCAAGTTATACATTTCTATAACTCCTTGAATGAATAGGGCACATGTTAAATTATTTTCATGAATACAATATGTACATTATAAAATGAGTTATTGTCAGTGAGATCAATTTAGTGTCCTTTAAAGGTGCTGGCACACGAGTGGTCTTGGTTGGAGATTTTTGTTGCTGATTAGAGTCTTGAGTAAAATATTGCATGTGCCCTCGCTTCCACGACAAGATTATCGCATCCTAGGCAGATTTTATAATATCAAACAAGTCTTCAATGGTGTTAGCGTCTGCAAGACAGACTGTCATCATCCAATCAGATTCAATTTCCTTTAAATTGCACGCTCCGCACCTGATTATCAACATGGTGGAAAACGACCAATTGAAGATTTTTGTCTCTTCATGTGCCCACAGCCAGTTGGTGAAACTCTTGACAAGACTCTAGTCGGCAATAAAAATCTCTGACCAACATCATTCGTGTGCCCCCAATACAAATTTTGACTAAAAGGGATTGTACAGAGGTTTTCTAAAAATTGTATGTGTATCAGGGACACTGATAGCATCAATTTGTCAATCAAATGTCTGTGGTTTCTGTAATTCCACTAAAACTAAGTGTTTTATGACGTCACTAATTGCGAAGAAATACAAAATGAAGAAAACCTTCACCTTCAAGTTTTATCCCCATAATTTCATTTTTTAAACTATTGTAACTGCCAGAAAATTCTGTGCCTTTTGAGGTCAGAACAAAAGCAATGCAGATTTTCATATTTTATTCCTTTTATTCCCTTTTCCTTTGAACACTTGTGAAAATGACACCTTTGAAAAGCTAACTGCAGTTCCATTCATCATTCATTTTCCCTTTCACTAATCTCTTGACAGTATTGAAAGACACCTGAGAGTCCCAGGTTTGTTATTGTTCCTGATTTAGTGATGGTAACATGTTGTTTCGGTGAAAATCCAGGTAGAGAGAAATCTTCACGTAAAATCAATATTCTCCAATCTATTACTTGGATAGCTGATGATACTTTTCAAATCCATGATACTAGAAAGGTGACTATTGCAGTCAAGGTCTAAGACAAAGTTCGTAATAGCTTGATAGCTTGATATTGTGAAGATGTGATACAAGAAGGTGATTATTGTAGTCAACGTATAATACAAAGTTTGTAATAGCTGGATAGCTTGATGTTGTGAAGATGTGATACAGAAAAGGTGAATATTACAGTCAACTACAGAAATGACAAATAATTTACTGACATCTTCAACTTCACAAATGATAAAAGGCAATATTTCATTATCTTCAGACACCTAACCAAAATTTTTATTTTATAGGCCCATTTTTTTTTTTCATCTGGAAGAAATCTTATGTTTCTGTTTGTTTTTAAAAATGTTCACCTAATGATAATATCAAATTTCAGACCCAAAATTTGAATAAAAACATTAAAACTGGTGAATTGATTTGATTTCAGTTGAACCCTTGAAGTTTCAGATTTCTTCAGACCTTCAACCAAAGTTTTTAAAATATGGTGGGTCGGATAAATCTAAATTGAAATCAGTTGATTTTATAAACAGTTAGTAATATATTTTAAAACCCATTTTTAATAATTCATGCAAAATCAAATTTCTTTCGACTCTAAAACAAATTATTTCAATTTCATTTCACAATTTTATAAAATTTTTGATTTTCTGTCCGCTCGAAACCAAAGTTTTTATTTGAGGTGGATGAATTGAAATTTGAAATCTTGAGTGTCTCAGTGTCGCTTTTAAAACTGTTTGTTATATTTGTTGTTACTAATAGATTGAAACTAATGTTTGCTGTGGAACAAAATAAATAAATTGAAAACAGAAAAGTGAACAAACAGAAAGGCAAGGTAAGGAAACTTTCAACTTACGAATTTCAACTTTCTTTGAGTCCAATTTCTTCGTCAAATCTTCAATGTGATGAATTTTTCTCGAAATCTTTTCAGTTTTTTCACAAATTTTCTGACACTCTTCCGAGAGATCACAAAAAATATCATCGGCATGCCGAATCAGACTCGTCAGTTGAAGCATTGCCCCCAAAACTGCATTATGTAGCACTGCCCTTTCGGCTTTAGGACCCTCATCCCTATCCTCAGGTAGCAAGGGTTTCCTTCCCAAACGAAAGGGTTCCACAACTCTGCCGGCTAACGGCATAATGCCAAATCACTAACTTTCCAAAAATATACACATTTCTGCTAAAATTCCATTCAAAAAGTTGAAAAACACACAAATTTCAAACGCCAGTTTTCACCCGGACATGTCAAGTTTACATCCACGCGCTTGTCAGAACAGTCGACCAGGTATAGGCTATTGTAATAATCTACCTCACTCCCTCTACATCAACATCTCTCGTGCATGGCGCAGGCTACACGTGCATTAATGTTATCATTAAAAACACGGTGTATAACGGTATATATTTATGTTTAGACAGTAGAAGAATCCCACATGATAAGTTATCAACACACAACCCCCTAATGATTAAAATCAAGGCTACTGTACTGATTACCTGTAGGGGGAGATGAACGGAACAGCCAGGTGAATAAAACGCTTGAATTGCCTTTTTGACAGATTGAACCAATGAAAAGAAAGCTTAGAAATCAATATTCTATTGATAACAAATCTTATCAGTTTTAATGGCCCGTCCACGCTTCAATTTATAAGCCGTATATCCATTTCATTGCACTCATAGTATATCAAAATATACGGGCATTACAACCGGGCGTTATGGCCCATATACACCAGTGTCGGCACGAGGTTTATCACACTTTCATTAACTCCTAATTAAAAACTCGTTTGCTACCTGTTTTATTTTTCCCGCCATTATCTGCTCATTAATTATAAATACAGCATGTTAGCAGACGATGGAATTGGCGGCAAAATTTTCAAATTCATTACAAGTAGACAATGCTAATTATTATTAACTTCTGCATGAACACATCTTGTTATTGTGTAGTCCATGTTTCGCTCGAAGAAAAGAATTAAGCCTACAGATTATATGATGCAGAGTGCAGCAGACGATGGATTTGGCGGCAGTATTTTTTCAACTTTATATCGAATGACACCGATAAACAAGAGTAGTCCATTCTGTACCGAGTTTTCAGGCAGGCTTTGGTAAAATCTGGACAGTTTCTGACTCCCTGAAACGCGATTTCCTAACATTTCCTAACGAATTTAAGGTTTATTTGTATGGGGTCTGAGGTGCAGCGTCGCTTAGAAAATTTTGAGAATTAGACGTCTTATAACAAAGACTCCCCTTGACTCAGTAAAATGAGTTAATGTATTTAAAAATAACAATTGACATTTTTTTAGGGGGAAAGATTTTATTAAGGCTGGGGGATGGGGGGGGGGGGGGGGGGGGGGGGAAAATTTTGAAAATTTGGGGGCCCTT